CAAGTAGCTGGGACTACAGGCGCCCGCCACAGCGCCTGGCCATTTTTTGGTTGCAGCCATCATTGTTGTTTGGCGGGCCCGGGCTGGGGATTTGAACCCGCCACCTTAGGTGTATGTGGCTGGCGCCTTAGCCGCTTGAGCCAGAGGCGTCGAGCCGACACTGGGTGTTTAAAGAGAGAAAATGGGGGTGGCGCCTGTGGCTCAAAGGAGTAGGGCACTGGCCCCATATGCTGGAGGTGGCGGGTTCAAACCCAACCCTGGCCAAAAACTGCAAAAAATAAATAAATAAATAAAGAGAGAAAATGCAAGGCAAGATTTAAAAAAGGAAGATTGAAGCAAGACCAGAGGCCTTAAATGCCTCTTAATATGGACTTTATTCTGGAGTCAGCAGGGACCAGTAAAAGTTTCTGAGCCCAGGAGTGATAGTACCTGAGATACTGACTCTTGGTGAGAGGAGAGCAGGTTGGAAGAAACTTCTCTGGAGACTGAGGGATACATAGTAGGCCATGGTCTGGGACCATGTGTGTTAGTTACAAAGACCTGAGCTGGGGCACAGCGCCTGTGGCTCAAGTAGCTAAGACACCAGCCACGTACACCCAAGGTGGCAGGTTCAAATCCGGCCCTGGCCCGCCAAACAATGACGGCTGCAACCAAAAAAAAATATAGCCAGGCATTGTGGCAGGCTCCTGTGGTCCCAGCTACTCGGGAGGCTGAGGCAGGAGACTCACTTGAGTCCAGGAGTTGGAGGTTGCTGTGAGCTGTGATGCCATGGCACTCTACCCAGGGGGACAGCTTGAGTCTCCTGTCTCAAAAAAAAAAGACCTGAGCTGGGCAGTGCCTGTGGCTCAAAAGAGTAAGGTGCCGGCACTATATGCCAGGGGTGGCGGGTTCAAACCCAGCCCCGGCCAAAAACTGCAAAAACAAACAAACAAACAAAAAAACAAGGACCTGAGCTAATTCGGGGACTAGAAGCAGGTTGAAGGAAAGGCTTCTAGAGCTATTCCCAAACTCTGCTGCAGTTAATAGCCAGACTTATGACTGCTGGATGTGGAGTAAGGGAAAGGGTGGAGTCAGACATGACACATTTAGCACTTAGCACGTGAGACCTTGTGTGGTGATTTATGTAACCAGCTGGCTAGCCATAGGCCCTTCAGGACAGGTTCCAGCATTAATGGCACAGGGAAGGATTCAGTATCTGGGGTCAACTGGGCCTGGATTCAAATCTTGACTACTACTTTCAAGTTGTAGGAACTTGAACAAGGTCCCTTTCTGAGCCTCAGTTTCCTGCTCAGTAAAATTGGGATAATACCCCATTATTCTGAGATGGTCTTTGAAACAGGACAGTTTGATGCTGCCAAAGACTGAGCGTGGAGTGTTCTGCCTTATGGGTGGGTGGGCCTTCCAGGCCAAGGTCTCTCTTCCTGTCTTTAAGGAGAGATGTCATATCTGAGAATTTGTTCCCAATGACCCCTGAGTTTGAGGTAAACTGAGGTGTTAAGTAAGGTCCTACTGTTCTCAATTCTGTGTTTTTAATGGATTACTCCTTGGAATGTATATGTGTGTCTGTGTTGGGAGAAGTTGTGTTCTTTATAAACAAAGGTAGAAAAACAAAAAATGGGTGACCATTTTGAGGATATCACTAAATGAGGCAATGCATGTAAAGTCCCTACAATTGTATCAGGCAAATTGTGAGCACCCTAGAAGTAGACAAATTATAACCATCATCCCTACCTTCTGGCAGGCAGACTTCGAGAGCAGGTTCATTAAAACATTTTACTGGCTTGGCACCTATGGCTCAAGCGGCTAAGGTGCCAGCCACATACACCTGAACTGGCAAGTTCGAATCCAGCCCGGGCCTGCCAGACAACAATGATAGCTCCAACCAAAAAATAGCTGGGCGTTGTGGCGGGTGCCTGTAGTCCCAGCTACTTGGGAGGCGGAGGCAGGAGAATCGCTTGAGCCCAGGAGTTGGAAGTTGCTGTGAGCCATGATGCCACAGCACTCTACCCAGGGCGAAGCTTAAGGCTCGGTCTCAAAAAAACAAAAAAAACAAAAAAAGTTTTACCTCCCATTATGTGCTAGTCCCTATACTAAGGACTAGAGATGCTGTAGTGAACAAAGACAAAAATCCCTATTCCTTGCCCTTGGAGCTTACATACTATTTTTTTCTTTTTTTGAAATGGTCTCTGTTACCCTGAGTAGAGTGTCGTGGCATATTAGCTCACAGCAACCTCAAACTCTTGGGCTCAAGTGATCCTCTTGCTACAGTCTGAGTAGCTGGGACTACAGGTGTTCACCATAACACCTTGCTAGTTTTTCTGTTTTTAGTAGAGATGGGTCTTGCTCTCCTCGGGCTGCTCTCAAACTCTGAGCTCAAGCAATCCACCTGCCTCGGCCTCTCAGAGTGCTAAAATTACAGACATGAGCCACTATGCCCATCTTGGAGCTTACATTCTAGACATAAATGAGCAATATGTTTTACTAAGTGCGAAGGAGAAAAGTAGGGTAGGGTGGGGGCAAGGAAGGCCTCTGGGAAAGTGACTCTTAAAGGAGTTAAGGCTTAAAGGAAGTGGGCAGCGAAGCATGAGGCTATCTGGAGGAAAGAACATTCCAGTTGGAGGGAACAACCAAGAGGTTGAGCATGTCTGTGGCTATGCTCAGATCTCCACCTTAGTAGCACTTCTTAGGTGACAAAGGTAATCAAAGGTAAAGAAACAGTAAGAACAAATAAACAAAACATTTAAAACCACAGAGCCACCAAACTTACCACAAAGCCCAGTTTTGGTTTTTGGCAGTTTTGGCTGGGGCTGGGTTTGAACTCGCCACCTCCAGCATATGGGGTAGGCACCCTACTCCTTGAGCCACAGGCACCGCCCATAAAGCCCAGTTTGTGCCCCATTTTCTTCATCACTTCCCCCATCATTTTCTGAGGTCTAGTTCCAAGATCAAGGTATTGGCAGACATTAGCTTATTTAATCTTTTTTTCCTTCTTTTTTTTTTTTTTTTGAGACAGAGTCTCACTATGTCACCCTCGGTAGACTGCCATGGCATCACAGCTCACAGCAACCTCAAAACTGTTGAGCTTAAGCAATTCTCTTACCTCAGCCTCCCGAGTAGCCAGGACTACATGCGCCCACCACAATGCCCAGCTATTTTTTGGTTGCAGTTGTCGTTGTTTAGCAGGCCCAGGCCAAGCTTAAACCCGCCAGCCTCAATGTATGGCCAGCGCCCTACTCGCTGAGCTATGGGCCCCATCCTTTTTTTCCTTTCTTTACTCTGTTGGACTCCTCAAGGAAAGAGAGGCCACTGTGAAGCCATCCAAGATCCTGAGCTCTTTCCTCTCTCTCTACATTACAAAAGTCACGAGTTAAGCCAAGTTTTACCATGCAGAGCTTGGAGAGTCAGCTCATTTGATCTTTACAATAGTCCCAGGAAGTGAGAACTATTTATTATCCCTACCTTACAGACAAGGAAACTGAATTACAAAGAGGCTATGTAACTTGCTCAGGGTTACATAGTGAATATCTTCTCCACCTCCCAAAAGCCTTTGCAAGGCAGTGGCCAGTGATAGGGCATTTGAAGTCAGGAGAGCTCTGTCCAAACCCCTATGTGCCCTCAACCTACAAGGGAGGAGTTCAGAGTATTCAATTTTACTATACCAGTTTCCTCACTATGGTCATTATGAGTTTTGAAAGGAGGTGATGCGGCTCGGCACCCGTGGCTCAAGGGGCTAAGGCACCAGCCACATACACCTAAGGTGGCGGGTTAGAATCCAGCCCGGGAGGCTCGGCTCCTATAGCTCAACCGGCTAAGGCGCCAGCCATGTACACCTAAGGTGGCGGGTTC